GACTAAATGAATTCTCAATAGTTAGGGTGAAGAGCATTAAACTCTTGGTGTTGCTATATCTCCAAGTGAAAGTACTAATGAGCATCGGATTTGTATTTAATAAATATCATTTTTGGAACTACTCTTTAAACTTAAAAATATCTTACTACTGAGTCAAGTGATATAGCGGTGGCTCTATTATTTTCAACTAAATTTTGAAGATGCGGCTTCATTGCGAAAATGATCTTGCTAAGGAACAAAGAAATGAAAGTGTCACTATAGACTATCCATAAAGTTAATTTTGAAGTTACCTGGGGCGGCCTAGAAAATGGTATTAGATGTTATGTGAAAAGCTTTTGGGCTTGAAGCAAGTAGCTCCTCTCTGATAAACAGAAGAGTAGTATGTAAGCTAAGTAGTTTAAATGTAAGCTAAAAGGTCTAACTTTTTAAGAAATTACAGAAAAAAGTAATATAGAATTAATGTGTTGATGTTCTGAATGAAAAGAACCCATAGTCAAAAATAAAGAGTGACAACAGTAAGATTTTTCGCTTGATTTTTTTTGTTTGTGGATATTGCTACCTTATATTTTACTGACAATCTAAATGATGTTCAGAATGACTTGGTGAATACTATCTTTGTATAGTAATCCAAAAATAAATTTATTAAACTATGCACAAATGATTCAAGTACAAGATGTCCGCCTGCATATTATACTGATTCCTACTATACATTTGAAAACATAGGCATAAATTATGCAATTTTTATTATTCCAAATAAAACTTAATCCTAACTATATCGCATAGGCCTCAATAGCCTGATCCAAAAGTAGCTTTATCAAACACATCAATCTTGCCCTTATTTTGGATGCAGAGCATATTACAAGGAAAATTCTAAAGCTTATAAATGGCGTAATACCAAGAGCAACTGTTTTTCTTGTATCAAATGATATTAGTGAATATACTTAACCCTTCCATCTCTTACACAATCGAGTATCTATTATCAAATTTAGGCCCTTTTTAAGTCTACTAGAAATATTATGTAGACAATTGAACAATGTATAGTGGTGTGGTGCTGCTGAAATTGCTTGCAGAACTTATTGCATAACATGCTTTAATCTTATGTAAAAGATATTTCTTTAAATGGTTCTTTTCTATTACATTTTATGCTGAAGCATGCAACAACTATTAACCAGGTTTGAATCTTAATGATAAATATCATATGCACAACTCAATGTTAATATAATGACAACATGTACGTAAATTCAACTCTTAATTGCTCTATGGTCCAGCTGTTTGATAATTATGGCCTTGAGTCTTTCTTAAATAAAAATGCTTTTGGAGGTTGTAAACACTATCGTCACGCTCAAATAGTAGACCTGATTGTAATTCACTTTTCATAGCATCCAATTTATAAAGAGAGACATGAGAATTGTGCAATCTAGGATATTACTTTCTTGGAACTTAAGCTTATCCTAATTATGTTTAACATGCAGCCATCGTTTGGATATTTTATGATAATACCTCTCGAAATCTGCTAGTTGTTTTTCATTCAAGGGGAACTTATTTAAATATCCAAAATATAAGAGTTGTGTTCCTGGGTCTGTCAAATAGCATAATATCAAAAAAGAGGTATTAATATTAACAATATTGTAACAAAGAGTGGTAAAAAGAAGTTGAAATTAAATATTTAAATCATTTTTAATTCAATTTATTATGAGGATCCAATAAATAAATGGTTTAACAGTATGGATTGTTTTAAGGGAATTTTTACTATTTTAATTCATTTTAACTCAAGTATAGATATAATTTAATATCTTTACAATTATTGGTCAGAAAAATCATTTTTATTTAATATTTAAATAATGACTGCTGTCATTCTAAATTATAATTTTACAGAATTTTTGAAAGTTACATCAAAAAAGAAAAAATGTAAAAAAAGGTTTTCACATTAGATATTCAGAAAATCAAAAATTAAACAACTTTTTTTTGTTAGATAAAATAATTCTGTAATTCACATAACTTTATCTCTTTGAAAACAAGAAGTAAAAACTCTCCTAGGTATAAGCCATTCCAGACAAAATTTTCTATCAGGGAAATACAGATAACCTATTCTTTGTTTGATTTTTATATCTAAATTTATAAAAGAAATTAAATGATGGAACTATTATTATTATTGATATCTATATATATATAAATATATTTTGAATAGAATGCAAACAGATAAATAATTTGTTACTTTTTCTCAATCAGATTCAAGCATACTACACCAATTATTGAATTATTTTTAAGACGTATTTGAATAACTTGAAAATGAATTCAATTTTAATCTTGATTAAATACGATTTCCTGTCTTGTCGTTATTAGATTCACTAGAAAAAGAGGATTATATTTAGAGCTAACATTAAATTGATGGAATCGATAAGGATTCTTATCATGATCATAAAACTTAAATTTGGGAATAAATGAAGAGAACATGCTTATCCATTATAATTGAGAAAAAAACTTAAGTAGAATTTGAGTTGAGTTCAAAAATCAAATCTAAAGAGAAAATATTTAATTTATTAATAGGAACCTCATAAGAGAAATATGGGTAAAAATTACAAATAGTATAAAATAGATCCAAAATTTTAACAGGCCCAACCTGCTTAGGAATAAAACATGGTAATTTCTACTTTGTAAATAAAGACGGTTTGAAAGAAAAGGTATTAATTTTTTATCATAAAGGCTGGAATGATGTATTTAAATTTTGAAATTAATACATGGATTTTTTCTGGCAGATATATTTAATTGTACAAATCATTAAGAAAAAATTTTATCGTTATATTTTAAATGGGTAAAATCGTTTATGTGGATGATGGAGAAATAATTGCTGAGTACTTTTAATAATTTGAATATAGAAATAAAGCTGATGTTCTGGATAATTCTTCTTCTTGGGTTCTTTTTAATTTAGATTAAATTTATTAATTAAAATGGCACGGAAATTATGGATCAAATGGAAAAAAAATTGGGAAATGGAAGCCAAGCTTGGAAGCTCAACAAATAACAAATGCAGGAGGAAATTATGAAGCAAACGGGGTTAAAACGGGACAATGGATAGAACTGTATCAAGATTATACAAAGTACTTATTATGTAATAATGAAGAATTTCTAAAGCGTATTTTGTTGGATAATATAAAGATGGATTAAAATAAGGAAAATGGAATGCATACTAAAACAATAAAATTATGTAATAACATACCATTTGAAATAAATTTATAGAGGAGGAGGCAGTTATGATGAGAATGGGGCAAAATATGGAAATTGGGTTGAAATTGTTGAAAATTTTTTAGGGTTTAACAATCAATTTATTTCACTAGACTTAATTATCTTAAATATGAAGGTCAATATGATGGTGGAAAAAAACGTGGGTTGTGGAAAGCTAATTACAATTAGAAGACAATGTATCCAAATGTTATTTTTTTTCTAGAAACCTAGGCTGTTATGATGAGAATGGTTTAAAGAATGGAAAATGGGTCAATTTATATAAATTTTTTAATCCGTAATGATTTAAATTGGTTTATTTTAGGAGTTGTAGGGTGATTTTTATTGGGTAATATAATAATGGGATGAAGATTGGCTAATGGACTATACAATAAAGAAAAATAATTATGTAAGGGTATTAATAAAGTTTTAAGAGGAGGAGGAATGTATAATGATGAAGGAAAGAAAATAGGTGTATGGAAAGAATTATAGCCAAATTTCTAATTGTAAATGATTTTTTAGACATATAAAACTAAGAGACTTTGAAGTATTTTACACAGGGCTATATGAGGAAGGGATAAAATAAGGAGAATGGAAGATATATTTTTAGGATAGATTAATGTTTAAATTTAAATAAATATAGTAGAGGAGGGGGTAATTATGATTCGCAAGGGATGAAACATGGTTTGTGGAAGGATGCACATTAAAACTTTTCTTAGTATCTTATCTTTTAGATTAATTTAGTCGAATTTAGGTTGCTTATTCAGGAGAATATGTAAAGGGTTGGAAAAAAGGAAGATGGAATATTATGCTGATTGATTAAATTATGTACATATTTAAAGCCTAACCATAGAGGAGGAGGGAATTATGATGAAGGAATAAAGTAAGGTAAATGGATAGAAGTTGATGAAAAATACGCTGAGTAGACATATAATTAATAATAATAAATAGCTACCATTAAGTTTTATGCGTTGGAGAATATTCAAATGGTATGAAAATTGGAAGGTGGGACTTTTTGTTTCAAGGAAATGTGATGTATTAATTATTTTTTGATAAGTGGTGGAGGATAATATGAAGATGGTATGAAACATGGAAAATGGACAATTCTAGATTCCAAATGGAATAGGCAATTATTCATTATAAAATTAGATATAATCAACTCTTTCAATAGGTTTGTTTTGAAAATGGTGTGAGAAAAGGCACATGCTGAAACAGTTAATATATTAAATTTCAATAAATATTTTTTATTTTGAATAATGATTTATTATATTGAGTTTGTTTTTTGTCTTTCAAGTAAATCAAAAAAAAGAAATTAAGTTTTTAAATTTTTCATTCTTACAATTTAATGAGCAGCAAAAAGTGATTTTTCATGTATTCGAAATTATCATTTAAATGAACAAATATCATATCTTTTGTGTATTAATCTCTATGTAATATTGAGATTATATAATATAATAAATAAATAATAAAAATAATTTTGGGAAATTCAGAATAAATTAATAAAGAATACAAATGTAAACACAGGTAATGTTTGTTTCAGTTATAAAATGATAATTTCTAAAATTAAACTATGATATTTTAATAACAAAATATTATAAACAAGTTTAATAGAAAGAACATTATGATTAAAAACGAATAAAAAGAAATTGAAATTTATCGAATCAGAAACATAAAAACAAGGATTCTTAAAATTCATACTTGAATAAAAAAATATATCTAACGAAAATCAAAATTTATATATTCAATCATCTTAGCCTTATTAATTGATAGAATAACTCTATAAATAAGGTGAATGTTTTTATGCAATTATAGTCAATAAATATTGATAATGTTATTGCTGGATGCAACAACTAGGTTAAATCACAAAGTTTTCCTCGAAAATAATGGATCGAAATCTTGGGCAAGTTAAAAGCGTTATTTGATGATAATGCTAATTATATCCTATAAGATTTCTAAATAATATATCACCTTAATATTTATCAGAAGAAGAAATGAAATAATAATAAAAAACTTCTAGAATAGTTCATTTATTTAATAATTTATATGATGAATATCCTTTATTTTTCTTATCCCAATACACCAAATATTGTCCATCGTTTGTGATAGTTCCAAAAATACCGATTGTGTCACAATTCAATTTATCATCAATTTTGTACTTCCCATCATTAACTTCTCTAATGATATAAATATATGTCTTATGTCTTACTACAATTAAATTCCTCTCCTTATTATAAATAATTGGAAAACGATATTCATCATAAACTTGATTATTTGGAATGAATTAAAGCGTTTTCTCTTAATTTTCTTAAAAGAACCCTTGGTTTAATTCAAATACATAAAATTTATCTGTTTGATAATCACCTGTTATCCAAATAAATTAATTTTCCTTAATAAATTTAACTTTTTAACCGTAATCTTAAATTGATTATTTAACAAAATATTTAAATTCAAAGTCATCTTTCTCTCTTTTTTCCCAAATAATTATTTAATTTTATCCATATCCACATGACACTAATTAATGTTCTGATTAATTTAAACTTAACGAAATTACATAATTATGATGTTTATCCAAAGAATATAGAAATACCAGTTTATTGTTATTTAACTCAACCTTCCAAACTTTAATTGATTTGTCAAAACTTCCAGAAAATAGTAAATCCTCATTTAAATTCAATATAATACACATAATGTAATCTGTATGTTATAAGTAAGGTTATGAACAAATCCAATCATTTTAGTTTAATTATTGCCAGCATCTTATTGTTTTGTCTCCAGAGCATGAAATAAAAGAATTCTGTTTTTTACTATAAACTAAACATTAGATCCAATCAGTATGTCCTTACAAAGTTTTAACTAATTTGAATGTTCCATTTAGAAAACTCCAAACTTTAATATCATACTTTTCGGTTGATACCATAATTGAACCAAAAGAATCAAATGCTATAGCTGAACATTCTTCATTTTATTTAATAGATTAATCAATTAATTTTAATTTGCTTTCACTAATGTTTTGTAACCAATTTGACTGGGTGATGCTGATTATATGTTACTTTAGCGTTTAAAAGTTTAATTTATCTTTATCTTGGTTGTATTAGATTAAGTTATTGCTTAATTTCGTTACCCAAGATCTATTAATGTTAATAATGTGTTTTAAATTAGAATCGTAGATTATATCCTAGTTCTTAATAAAGTTATCTAATTCATCATAGAAGCTGTATAGGTAGAATTATTCTCTTTATGCCAGTAAACTTTAAGTCCAACCTTCAACTATTATAATGAAAGAATCGAATAATTCCATAAAGTGAGTTTTTAATTCTTGTATATTTATTATGCAGATTTGTAATTTTCGAATTATTTCTGAAGTAATACTTTCTAAATTGTTTTTCTTCGACTCAATTAGATCTTCAATAATTTAGATTATTTTTTTAAATCCAATAGTTTTGGAATCAGATTCGAAGCTTTCCATGCATAAATTGCATAATAGTCTATGTTCCTTGTCTAAGTTTGGATCAAGCACAGCCAAATGGATTGGTTGGTTGTGCTTGTTTTAACAGCAAAAATCTTTTTCATTTTCTATCATTTTTGGTTTTAACATTTAATTACAATAATATATTTTTATGATTGAGTTTGAAAGAATTCTTGAATTGGAATTTGAGTATCAACTTTAATTTTTGGAGATGTGGCTAATTTTTACCCCCATTGCTATCAAAAGCAAAAGAGAAAATAAAGAAGAAAATTTAGTTTAGATTAAAACAAAGGATTTTATGGCTCTCTATTTATGGACGGCTTTTAATAGTCGTTAAATGATATTAATTTTCAAACTCGGCGATATTATTCAAAACTAAATAATATATGTTATTAGCATTTCCTTTAATTCTAATTTATGTTACCTTTACTAATCTGATACTAGCAAGGTATAAATTTAGGTGAATTATTTCGTACAGTACTTCAATTAAATTAATAAATGGAATAATCTGTGATTCCCTTAATATCAGAAAGGCATGATTAATTAATTGAATATTAAAAGGAAATGATGGAAGAACAGGTGTATTGAATAATGGCTAACTTAAATCTGAATTAATCATTCTTAAATATATATGTTTGGCTTCATTCTAGCAAAATCATGGTAGACTTATGCGGATAATTAATAAAAAATATGGTCGGTCATTGAAATCTAGGGAGCAGCAGAGATGAAATCTTCTTGTAAGTAATTAATCATGGCAATTAAGCCGTACTATCAAACTATCTATAATCTCCCCAATCGAAAATGATTCAATCCATTCCCCTATCCATGAAGAGTTTACTTATGAGATGGATTTATGATACTATTGAGTTTATTATCGTAGTAAAAATTAGAGGAAGAAGGTTTAGAACGATATATTTAATTGTGCAAGAATTAGATATATAGAATCCTCCATTATTTTTACATTTGAATATGTTACATTTCTGGCTCGATAATTTTGGTCATCTTATGCTTCTCTAACAACCTTTTAGTATAATTATGATGCTCAACATTATTTCTTAGCAAAAGCTGTTCGAACTTTAAAGGATTTCGAAATGATAATTGAAGAATAATTTTAGAGGTGAAAGCGAAATCAAGTTCCTTTTTTGAAGCAAACTATTATTAATATGCAAATAAATTTACAAATTTATTAGTAAGCAAAATCACTGATTATCAAATTTTATTTTCGAGTTTAAATAATTTAACAAATAGCCTTTACTTACAACTTTATAACAGAGGTTTTGGATTAAAATGCTCCTCCATTATTGACATCAACTAAAATGATTACTTGAATAAGGCAAATGAATATATATTTATGACAACAAAATTGTAAATGATAGTGGAAATTACAAATAATTTCAATAATATCATATTTTTGTGAATGAAGTGATAGATATTTTGAATAAAAATGGAAAATAATTTGAAAGGAATAATTTTTCAGAATGTAATCCATGATATCTCACATATTAGCAAATTAAAGAATAATTCTCCATAACTTATCATATCAATATCTTCTGAATAATTTAATCTAAATTAAAAATATGATTTAAAGTGAGACTTCATATTAATTACTCTTGAAGTTTATTAATAAAGCAGTATTCATCCAATGATCAAAACTCAGATAGGAACAGATGGATTCAGTCTTCCTACTTGAATGATTGATATAATCGGGATGGATAAAATGGAAAAGTCATATGGAATTAAGGAGGTCATGAGAAGGTTAAGTGGGCCGAAATACTTTTTAATAGGGGCTCCCCTAATTATTACTCCAAATAATTTGAGTAAAGAAGATAGGTGAAGTAAAGATTTTGAAAAGGATGTTTGTTATATGTTTTTAGGTACTTTAAAAGGAAGGATTCTTGAAGTGATTCAATGATGCGTGCATGTTAAGATAATAGTGCATAAGTGGAAGGACAAGAACCAAATAATAACTGGGATCATAGATTATAAAACAAGTGTTTCATTTCCTCTTATATGCTATGCAAACCCTCCATCATGTTTTGCTGCAAATATCCTAACTAGATAACCTTGAAGCTGTTTGATAATGAGACTGAAAATAAATTACTTAGCAAGTTCAACAAGATTGGACAATTTATATAGTAATGCAATAGGTTGAAAAGAACTAATAGTGGTAAAAAGAAGATCGGTAGGGTCACCCAATGAAAGTTGTATTTAGAGAGAAGTGTTCCAGAACTTAAGAAACGCTCTATCAAGAGTTAGCGAAAAGATAAAATATATTCCGTTAGAAGAGAGTGGATTACTTTGGATTTGTGATCAAAAAAGAAAAGCTATGCAGAAACAGAATTAAGGGAAATTGAAGAAATCGAGAAAATTATAATATCCTGATAGCTGGCTTTGGAATAAAAATAACAGAAACATTGATCTAATTCCATCTAATTTTCCTTAGGCATCTAAAGTATAATGAGTCAAACTATTAACTGGACACAATGCAGAGCTTCATGGATTTTAAATGTAATAGTATATGATTGCTATTTAAAACTGAGCATCCGGAGGATATTCTAGAAACATTGGAGAATTATTCTTTTATTATTTAGACTAAAATATTGAATGCCAAACTTTATCTAAATTTATTATTCATGAAGCTATTTACTTATTAATTGATAATCTCTTTTAATAATCTGAGATATAGAGCAATTTGCAGAGCTAAAATATTCTAATATAACCAATCCAGAATTAAGAGTTAAATTATGATGAAACAAGATTTTAAAATGATTGATTTCGAAAATATTTTCCATAATATAATATTCTTTATTAAATCATAATCCTAAATTATATCAGGAATATCATGATTAAAATAATGGCAGATTATTATAACTTATTTATAAATATTAATATCGTTTTATTAATGTTCCTTATCCCCTAATTTTTCAATCAAATAATAATTGGGCTACTATCTGTTTTAAGAATTAATCGATTAACAAATTAGTTTTTAACAAAATCTACTCAGAAAAGATTGATAATTAGAATTATTAATAATTTATGAAATATTCTTTTATTTTTGAATATTCCTCATTCTTGTATGGATCTCCTAATTTATATTGTCTAAGTTTAAAACTCCCAAGTAATCAAATACTCTCCATCATCACTCATATTCCCAAATAATTGATTACTACCAAATTCAAGAGTTTATTCCACATTAAATTGATCATTATCTATCTTTCTTATTAAATTGATCTACTTATCATGCTTACTCACAAGTAACTATTTCGATTTTATATACTATTATGGGAAAAATACATAACCGTCATCACCTTGATTAACAGTAATATGTTTAGTTTGAGTAAACTATTTACTTTCATCATTCATTTCATAGATATGCATCAAATTGCCTTTCTTTGGTTGAAATGTGAACAGATTATCATTGATAAAATATATTCTCAATCCTTAGCAATCCACTTGAATTCTTTATATTATCATCCACTATTTATCCTATTCTGAATACTCAATTACTAAGATTAATTGATCCCATCCACATGAAATAACTTTATTTTATTTATCATTTAAGCTTAATTAATAAACCTAATGTTTATGTTCATTTATTGTTTATTAACAGATCCATTCATTTTATTTCATCCAAAACTTAATAGTCTTATCATTACTACTGGAGATAATAATGTCTTCATTATTATTCATAATTAAGCAATTTATACCACTTTTGTGCTGTTTAAGTGTTAATGAACAATTCCATTAATTATTATTATTGCTTGACCAAATCAAAATAGTTCCGGTAGTATCTCCAGATAAAAGCTAATTTGAGTGTTTCATGAAATATAAAGTGCTCACATCTTCTTAATGTTGACTTAAGAGTTGTATCTATTTCAGCATTCCTTCTTTGAATTCGTAGAGTTTTATTAAATCTTCACATCCAGCTGCTACCATTGAGCAATCTTTATTAAAAGCAACTGCTAAACAACATTCTTGTTGTGTAATGGAATTGTTATTCACGAATTCATATGTGATAGGGCTAATATTTGATTTTAATTTTTCTAAATCGCATGGAATTTATGCAATACATTGTGTGTTAGTTTGATTCTCTAATGTTTTTAGTATTTCGGTAACAATCTATTTTACTTATTGAATTGATTGATTAAGTTGCTTAAATAGTATTTTATCGCATTCTTCTATTAAACTTAAACCTTTCACTAATTTATCCATCTGATATAATCCTAAAATAGGTATTTAATCAATATTAAAGTCAAAATAAGGAGAGAACTGATTCAGAAGATTTTCAAGAGAAACCTTCAACTCCTATAAATTGTTCTAGACATTAAGAACCTAAGGGATTCTTTCCTAAATCCATTCAGTTATAAGATCCAAAGGGGTTAACATATGAGGATGTTTGGAATGGAGAGGCAAGCAAAAATTACAATAGGGTCTTAAATTTGGGCATGTATTATCTATGCAAACTCCAACTATAGTTTGATTTTGATGGTCAGCTTAATTACATCTCATCTGCATTTTCATTATTTATTTATTAATATTTTGGGATTACTTTGTAGCTTTATGAACTCAAAATTTGATTCTTAGATTATAGAAATAAAACTTATGGTATAAAAATGAATTTTTGCTAAGAGATAATTTATATCTTGTTAAAGAAAATTGTTGATTCCTATTGCAAACATTCTTTTCGTAATATAAATATTTAATTTTAAGACATTCTGCTATTAAATTAAGGGACAAAGATATTTTAGGTTTTATTTATTATTAACAGAGAATAATCCAACTAAAGATGAAGATTTGGTCTTTAATATGATGAGCAATAGCAGTTTTAGCTAAATTGTAAAAATTAAGCGCCGAATAACATAAATCTTAAGTAATCATCCTAGTTTACACAATTTGATTATAATAATTCGATAAATTGGTTGATTATTTTGATTTTATAATTCAAGTAGTTTACGTTATAATATTTTATTTAAATGAATAAAAAAACACCTTTGTATATACATATTGCTATTAGGTTGAAAAATAATTAATCACTAAATAAGACTCATCTGGGCATGATCTTTTCAAATCAAATTTATTCTGCATTCTTTAGGATTTAAGAATACTTAATTCCTTATAATTATATTAGATTTGATTTTCAACTATTTGGTTCAAATTATTCAGATTATTGACAGATTGATTTAAAAATTTCAGAAGAGGGTGAATAAATTTCAAATTTTTGTAATTATATATGGTTAAAAAATTTCTGAATTTAAGAAATTCTCCAAATGCAAAGAATTATCAACTTCAAAAGTAAGATTCAGAGTAATCAAAAATCCGAAATAATGTAACATCAACTCATTACCCTAAATATGGTCACTATAATGGAGTCTGAAAATTTTGAAACAAAAAATGCAAGGTAAATCAACATTCCTTCTAAGAATTGTAAAATTCCTATAGAACCTCTTTACTTATTAAACTTATGGAAGTAGATAAAATAGAAAGATGGATGCTTAAGAAATTATACAAGTGAATTTATCTGATTAGGAATATTTTAAAGTAGGCAGCTTAAGGAAAGAAGATTAATATTTTGGATTTGTTTCAAGACCCTTATTAATATAATCAATTTCTACTTTGTACCTTTGTTGTGACTGTAAGAATTAAAAATGAGGTAAATGAAGTAATTTTCTAAATTAACAATAAAATAGTCAAGAACATTTTTCTATATTTTAAAAAAATTTACTATTGAATAAATAAAAAAAGCTGTATTAGCTGATTTTATTGTATCTATAATTTTGCTAACAATTTTCCCTTCAATTATAATACTACAAAATCATTAAAAATACAGCTGATATCATTTCGATTTATAGTGATGAAATTTTCTTATACAACAAAACTATCTTAAGATTTTAATAATCTCATATAAATTTAGTTTGTGCACATGAAAATATTAAGAAGCACCAAATGGTAAACGTAAATAATTCCATCTATTTATAATGTATAATATAAAGCTCCTGATGAAAGAAATTGCTTTTGAATATTAAATTTCAACAAGATCACACTTATTTAGCACTAAAAAATAAGGAGAATTTAGTAATTATCGTTTTTTAAGAATGTAAGATGATAATAAAATAAAAGTATAATACTTTATCATCAAAGATTCTAATAATATATAAATTATTATTGGAATTGCAAATAGCTTTTAATAGAATATAAATTATTCAAATCAATAATATATCTACAATATGAAGCTAATTAAGCGATTGCTATTAAAAATATAAAAAAATATCAACATTAAATTAAGTTTTTCTAATTGGAGAATTTCATATTACAACAAATATTAGTTTTTTCTTTCAGGTAAATTCCTTATTAGTTATTAAAATCAATATTCATAAGTCACATAAATTTTTAAAATTAATTCTGTTCTCTATTTGCATTTTTGAGTAAAAAATCTTTTGCATTAAAATCAATTAATCTTGAGTCATCTCTAAGTTGAGTATTTGAGAATCTTTGTATTAGCTTTTATAAGGTACTCCTCCTTCTAATTCTGCCAAATTTATATGAATTTAATCAGTTTTTGTGGAGATGGAGATTGTAAGTTTTCAAATATTCTATTTACTTAATTGAATATTTTGACTACCTTATTCATATATTTTTTATTATTTACTATTCACATTAAAGCACATCTTAATAGGGGAATTATAACGGTATTTTAATTGTTTTATAGATCTAACATATTTGAACTTGAAGATTTTTCACAATTTATATGTTCATTTTATTGATTCTTCTTTCGTAAAAATTATTAATCAATAATTTTAGGAAACCCTAAAGAAATTTTACTAAAAGAATTTAAAGTTTGTTAGAGATTAAATATTCTGTATTTTCTGAATTTACAAATCGAACATGTAAAATTTAGGTTAATCTAAATATAATATTTAAGCTTGTTGTCTATGAAGGATATTTAATTAAATCTCAGTTAAAATTAATGACACCATCATTTTATAATTAATTTAATTATATTTTCCTTTAATTGATTAATTCATGGTTTAATAAGGGTAGTAATAGTTGAAATTGTTAAATTTATTTGTTTCTTCAAATTCTTTTTGCTGAACTTTTTTAATTACTTATATTAAATGCAAATTCATTATTTATAATAATTAGTTTTTTCTTTAAACCAAAGTGATGGGATCTATTTGTTCAAGCGATTAACACGTGGTATAAGAAATCCCAACATCGATTAGGTAAGCCAAAAATTGATATTTGAAGAGCGGTAGAAAAGAATGAGCCTTAATTTATTAGAAATGATAAGTTAAATGACAGATAAGAATACGAATGTGCAATTTGGTGCCCATTTTTATTTAAGTGGTAGAAGAGAAAACTGTAAATAAAATTAACTACAGATGATGAATTTCATTGTCTTCTGAATGGAAAATCTGTAACCCTGTAAATTATTAGAATAAAATTTGAAATAGAAATGAAGTAAGAGAATTTTAAGCAAGTCCTCAGGTCTTTCGTAAACTAGAATAGTTGAAATATTTTGAATATTGGGGAAACGGCAGACAGAAACTTAAAAAGGTGTAATAGTTTGCTGTTAATTGGAGATTACAAAAACTTATAGAAATAGGTGGGTGCTACACTGAAAATGAATTAAAAGTAGGATTTTGGAAAGAGTTAAATTAAAACTATTGGACGTAATTAATGTTCAATTTTAACAATTAGCAAAATTTAAATTTTTGAAGTTGGATAGTATTTCAACAATCTAAGGGTCGGAAGATGGGGTTTAATCATGAATGATTAGAGAATGTATAGAAACTACAGTAATTATTTAGCGGTGGTGGATAATACAATTAAAGTGGCTAAAAGCATGGTAAATGGAGAGAGATAAATGATGAGTCCACAGAGTAATAAAAAATCAATAATTAGCCAATTTCTAATAATTTAGGATGGGGAATACTAAAATGGTAAAAGAGTAGGGATATGGGAGATATTGCTTAGGACGCATGAATCAAACTAATTTAAAAAAATGTAAATCATAAATATTTTATTTAACTTTAGTGCAGGTGGGTAGTATGTAGATAATGGGGAAATAGATTCGATAAAAAATGGAAAGTGGTTTGAACTGGGTGCGGGATTTTCGTATTATTCTTAGTGCATTCTTGATGGTTCATATAAAAAGGGGAAAAAAATGGGTTAATGGAATCTAATTTATGGGAAAATGTTAATGTAATATTCCATGATTATTTAATCATCTTTAGTGGTGGTGGAAAGTACGACGAGGTTAATGGATTATGTGAAATTAAGAATGGAAGGTGGATTGAGTAAATAGAAGAGTATAATTTCGAAAGAGAAATTATTTATGATGGTGAATATAGAAATAATCAAAAGATTGGGAAATGGGAGATCTTTTCTAAATTAGGTGCTAATGAAACCTTTAAGCTTGTGTATGCAATTGTACAGATAATTTTAGGGGAGGAGGAACATATAACTATGAAAAAGGATAAGGATCGGTTAAGAATGGAAAATGGACAGAGTTGAATGATAAATTTAGAAGTGTATGTTAAATCACATATAATGGGGAATATAGAAATAATAATAAAATTGGAAGATGGGATACATTTTATTGTGATTATGAAAAAAATATAAAAATGTAAAATTTCTTAAATTATCCAATCTAGTGGCGGAGGGTCCTATTGCGATACAAATTTTAGCAAGATTGGAAGTTGGATAGAATTAAGTGAGGATTTTAGGGATATTTCATAAGTAACATATTGCGGGAATTATCAAAATAATAATAAAGTTGGGAGATGGGATATTTTTTATAATAATTGCTATGAAAACATAAAAGATTAAATGTAATTATTATGAAGTTAATCATAGTGGTGGAGGATCATATTTAGAAGTGAAAGGACTAGACTCAACCAAGAATGGGAAATGGATTGAAATAAGTCCAAGTTTCAATTTTTATAAATAAGCCATTGTTTAGGGTGAATATAATAATGGTTAAAAAATTGGTTAGTGGGAAAAATTCTTGAAACTTAATAACATCTTTCAATTGTGGTATCATGATATATCTATCGAATTTTCTTAGTGGATGTGCAAATTTTGATTTACAAGGCACAAAGATATACAAGAGTGATAAGTATATTTTAATAAACATATTTAAAGAAATTCTCCCTTTATTTTTTCAGGAGAATTTAGAAATAGAAAAAAAGTAGGCAGATGGGATACTTTTTATAGATAATATACATAGAACCCTTATTTATTAATGTAAAATTATTGTCAATAAATTTACTAGAGGTGGAGGAGAATACTAAGAGGTAGATGAGGATAATTCTAGAAAGATTGGAATGTGGGCTGAGTTGAATGAAGGGTTTTATGGTTAGGCATAAGTCATTTATAATGGCGAATACAAAAATGGAAATAAAATAGGCATATGGGTCATATCATATAGGAAGAATGAAGTAGAAAAATTCAAATAGATGTAAGCACTAAAGATATATAATTAAGTGGTGGAGGAATGTATGTTGAGATGGAAAAACTAGGGTCAGTTAAATTTGGAAATTGGATTGATTTGAGTGAAAGATTTTATAATGGATCGTAAGTAATTTATAAAGGTGATTATCTTGATGGCAACAAAATTGGAAGATGGAATTCATTATATAGAAGGGATGAATAAGATAAATTTGAGATGATGTATTCAATAAATATATTAAGTTTAGCGGAGGTGGTCAATATGATGTAATCAAAGAAATAGGTTCAATTAAAATTGGAAGCTGGATTGAACTTAGTGATGGATTTTTTTGCGAGGCACAGTTAATTTATAGTGGTGAATATGAAAACAACAATAAAATTGGTAGATGGGATATAAGCTATCGGATGAATGGGTTGAAATTTGAAAAGATGTAAGTAAAAATTAACGAACTTTAGTGGTGGAGGATCATATTCTCTAGCTTAGGGATTACATTCAATTAAGATAGGGAAATGGATTGAGTTGAGTGATGGTTTTTTCAGTAAATCTTAAGTTCTTTTAGAAGGAAACTATGTTAATGGTAATAAGTTTGGCAAATGGAATATTTTGTTCAGGAAAGAAATTAAAGAGCAATTTCATTTAATGTAAGCAAATTAATATTAACTTTTAGTGGTGGAGGTTCATTTGATTTAATAGAAGAATTAGGTTCAATTAAGGATGGAAAATGGGTTGAATTATCTGATAACTACGGCAACGGAATTGGATTATCTGAGGTGATATAAGTTGGTTAATATAGAAATGGCTAAAAAGTAGGAGTTTGGGTGGGAAAATGAAAGTGAAAGATTTGATGCTAGAAATTTTTCATTATAAATTTTATGAATTAATATATATTATGCTTAATATCTTATTATTACGATTGATGGATATAATTTAATTTCCTTAAGGAATATTTGGCTCAGAAGATGTAATTAGAATTAAATAATTATCTACTGATGAATAGATTTTCTGATGAAGAACTTAAATTAGTTTTGATTGCTCCTAACAAAAAAAATGTAAAGGCTATTTGAAGATTGAATTTAAACTAGATAGAGGAATTCAATTAAAATTATCAATTAGTTTGATCTTTGTTAAATAGTTTAAAGATTTATTTGTCCACTTTTTCATCCGAACTACTAAAATATAATTTCTAAACTTTCAATACTTTCAATACATTAATTCATATTAAAAAGCTCATCATTATCTTCGAAAGTTGAAAGATAAAATTTTACCCATCCTAGATTTATGAAAGTTAACCATATTTATAAATTTCAAGGATATTTCTAAACAATGTTTTGCCATATGGAAGTAATTATTTAATATGTAAAGCTTATGTGTTAATTTAAGATGATATACTAAGAATTCTTTCAGATTTCTAATTAACAATTCAAAATAATTCATATATTTAATAATTCATATGTTGAATAAGCTTTACTATTGTAATCCCAATACACCAAATATTGTCCATTAGAAGTGATATTTCCATAAATACTGAATGTATCACAATTCAATTAATCATCAATTTTATACTGACCATCATCAATCTCTCTAATAATATATATATATGTCTTATGTTTTACTACTATTAAATTCCTCTCCTTAATATATAAAATTGAAAATCTATATTCATCAAAATTTTGATTATTTTTATTCAGTTGGATAGTCTTTTCTTAATTTTCTTAATAGACTCCTTGTTTTAATTCAAATATAAAGAGTTTATCTGTTTGTTTTTCACCAGTTATCCAAATAAATTAATTGTCTTTAATAAACTTAACGTTTAGTCCATAATCTGAAATTGATTATTTAACAAAATATTTGAATTCAAATTTTTCCTTATCTCTTCTTTCCCAAATAATTATTTAATTCTAACCTTCTGCACATGATACTAATTAATCTTCTTATTAATTTAAACTCAAAGAAATAACTTAATTAATATGTTTATCCAATGAATATATAAATACTAGTTTATTTTCATTTAAATCAACCTTCCAAACTTTGATTGATTTATCCAAACTCCCAGAAAATAGCAAATCCTCATTTGAGTTAAATATCATACATCTAATAATATCTGTATGCTATTAATAAGGTTCTGAACAAATCCACTCATTTTAGTTCAATTATTGCCAACATCTTAGTGTTTTGACTGAAGAAATAAAGAAATTTTATTTTTTGCTATAAACTAAACATTAGACCCAACTAGTGTGTCCTTACAATGTTGTTACTAATTTGATTCTTCCATTAAGAAAACTCCATATTTTAATTTTAGATTCTTCAGTTGATACCATAATTGACCCAGAAGAATCAAAAACTATTGCATTACATTATTCGTTTTATTTAACTGATTAATCAATTAATTTTAATTTGATTTCAGATTATGATTGTAATTGTTATTTATCTGTACTAAATTTCTAAAAAATGAATTCTTAATGTGACAATAGTTCTTTACATTTTTTATATTATTCGAATGTATTAAATATTTCTAATTTAGGATATAATTTAGAAGTCCAACAGTAATTTGTTTGTTAAATGTCATGGATTAATAATTATAAGTTATCCTCAGCTTTATTTTATTTCAATACCAGAATTTCTAATTCCTCATAAAAGCTATAATGAGATTATTACAATCCTTTTTATGATAAATTCTATATCCATTCATTTATTAAAGAAAACTACTAGTCAAATAATTAGATTGCAAGTGACTTCATTTGATCGACAATGCCGTGCAATTATTCAATTAATTTAATTTAGTTGACTAATACATCTTCTACTTATTCTAACTTTTTTATTTAGCCTTCTTCAATTTATGAAATAATTTTCTTGAATCCAACTTTTTTACCATCTAAATCTGTACTCTCTAAACATTCTGTGCATAGGAGTCTTTAATGCTTTGATAATTTTGGATCAAGAGCAATCATAACGACAGGTAACTTATGTTCTTAACAACAAGATAGATCTTTCTCGTTTTCTATCATTTTTGGTTTAAACATTTAATTTAAATAATATATTTTTATTGATTGAGTTTCAAAAGGATGTAAATCTAAAGATGACAGTAAATGTAGTTCATTCTCATAAAAGTTTATAAAGGGATTTATTTAAAGGCCACTTGGTTCGACCTAAAAATTAATTATGATTAATGCCTATTGCAAAAAGTATAATGTGAATATTCTATAGCATAAGTGCTTATTTTAATTCTGAAATTATTTATCAAACCACAAAATAACAAAGATATTATTTATTTATCTTAGAGCAAAAGTTATCGGCTAAGATCTTGATCTTTTAATTGCTAAAAGGGCGTTTGAATATTAATTCATTTTTTGTGGATAAATTTTAACGAAAAGCGATCAACTCTTCTAAGTATTAGTATTTACGATACTAAAAATCTAAAATTTTGTTACTAAATTTGATTTTCCCATCACACACATAAGAGCAATAATTAATCTATTTACAGTAAATTATTGTAATTAGATTTTAATCAACTGTGCCTTGGTGTTAAGGATTCTAATTTATATTGAGAACTTTTAGAACTATTCCTTTCATGATGCTAGACTTAAGTTTTGTAGGGCTATAAAATATACTACTAATTTGAGTAAATAATACTTCAGGCAAATTAACCCAGTTTATTGTATTTGTAATTTTTGTTTAAACGGAATAGTATAAAGTTTTAATTAGGTTCGTTTTGGCTTGTTTGAAGATAATATCAAATTATGTGATCATTATTGTGGCGTTTGCTAAGTTTGATATTGTATTCTTATATTATATTAACTTGCAAGAAGTAATAAGTTTTAAGAATTGAAATCTAGAATATGGATTAGATCACAGATAATAAAGAGTGCAGTATTTATATAGGTTTCTCATTCAGCTTCCAAAGTGTATATACTCAGGAAGTAATAATCTAGAAACAAACAAACCGGACAAAGATATGGTATTTACTTACATATACCAATAACATCCTGATTGAATATAAGATAAATATTGTGATATGTTACTCATGCTCTTATTTAATAAATATTATTGAATATCTATTTTATATCAAAAGATATTAATAAGGATGATCTATTCTAGTTTTCATAAAACAATTCAAAATCTAATAATTAGCTGAAAATAAAAATTAAATTAAAACTTTTAGTTTGATTAAGATTTTGTTTTCTTGTAGATTTGACATATTAGAGAAATAATAATTATATGGATTTAGAGAGCGTTGGTTTAATAGTCCTGTAACTTTTAATTATCTCAGAACTATTCATACAACCTAATTATAGTCTGTGAGTGATTTTAGGACAGGAATATTATTTATCTTACAACTTGGATCTATTATTAAATTAATAAAGAATATTAATAACACTACTCCCTTATTTATTTATTCCTATAGAATATTTCAATTCTTCCATAATTTTCTAAATTGATCAAATAAATTACATTTCCTTTAAGACCAAAATTGGAATGATATAGCATAATACTTTTAACATGAATCAAAATTATAGTTGCCTTCGATTAAAATCAAAGAAACTGGAAAATTTTTACAATTATTATCAATTTATCGGTACTAGAATATATCGGAGGATATAGATATATCTATGAGTAAATAAGAAGATGATTCATTTCCAAAATGAACTGGGGTTCCCTTCCTATTTGACATATCTGAATCAAATACTGAAAAACATTAAAAAAATTTAGCTTATTGGGGAACCTAGCAATTTCTTAAGCTAATATAAATTCAGGTTCAAGATTAACATAATAAA